CCCTTGTATAATACAGGTGTCAGGAATCAAAGATAATACCAGCATTGTTTGTTACCGTTTAAAGCAGTGGTTCTCAACCTTGGCTGCACATTAGCATCACCTGGGAATCTTTTTAAAATCCTGTTTTCTGGGCCTCACCCTCCGGAAATTGTTTCTTTGTTATGGATTGAGGCCCAGAAATCAGGATTTTAAAAAGATTCCCAGGTGATTCTAATGTGCAGCCAAGGTTGAGAACCACTGGTTTGAAATGAAAAACAAGTATCTTACTTCATTCAATTGTGTACTCATTCAAACAACAAATAATTAAACACTGAAATACGTGCCAGGCATTGTGCTAGGCTCTATTATACCTAACTCTATTAGTTATCTTTATGGCATAACAAATTATCCCTAATTAAATGGCTTAAGACAACAAACATTTTTTAACTCACAGTTTCTCTGGGCCAGGAATTCAGGAGCACTTTAGCCGAGTGGTTCTGGGTCAGGTTCTCTCTTGAGGTTCAGTAAAGATGATCAGGAATGCAGTCACCTGAAAGCTTGACCAGGGCTGGAGGATCTGCTTCCAAATTCACTCACATTGCTGTTGTCATGAGTCCTCAGTTCCTCACTAGCTTTTGGCTGGAAGCCTTAATTACTCATAATGTGGGCCTCTCTATATATTCAAATGTCCCCCCGCCTCCCTAAGAAATCACATTATGTCATTTCTACAATGCGAACAAGTCTATTCATGAGAACGAGTCACTAAATATAGTTCAAACTCAAGTAAGGGGAATTCAGGGCCACCTTTTGAAGGAAGAAGTATCAAAGCTTGTGAACATATTTTTTAAAAAAATATATTTGTATTGATTTCAGAGAGGAAGGGAGAGGGGAGAGAGAGAGAGAAACATCAATGACGAGAGAGAATCATTAATCAGCTGCCTCCTGCATGCCCCACACTGGGGATCGAGCCCACAACTCGGGCATGTGCCCTGACTGGGAATCGAACTGTGACCCCCTGGTTCATAGGTCAACATTCAACCAATGAGCCACACCAGCTGGGTCATATTTTAAAACTATTATACCAGTGAATATAATTTACTTTACAGAACTTAATCAAGTCATCACAAAACGATTTGTTAATCTAATTGTAACATTTGGGTATTAAAAGGAAAACTAAGTTTATCAGAGAAGAGAGTGGTGTTTTGTTGTTATTTCTTGTTTCCATTTTGTGTTCCCCGTTTATTAAAAATCCTATATACAGTGCTAAATAAATGGTGACTTGTTCTATGTTAATATATCAATTAGGAATTGCATTCAGTGTTTATAACAGAAAATCTAAACAACAAAACCTTAAATAGGAGGGATTTATTTTCCCCTACTCAAGTTCAGAAATGGGCAGTTCAGAGCTGGTAAACTGTGCCTCCAGAGCAGTCATGAGCCAGGCATCTTTGACTTCTCACACTATTAATAGTGTGTGGGGCTTTTGTTATTATGGTTGAAATATGGCTGCTCCACCTCCAGCATCAAGCCATTGCTCAGATAAAGAATGGATACAGGTCCAAAGGCTAAATGAACATTGCTTCCATAAAGCTTCAAGCCCCTCCTAGGAACATCTCCTTTAATTTTGTAGGCCACATGGCCAATCATGGCTTTCAAGAGTCTGGGGAGGTAAAGATTTTTAACTGGACATATTGTCACCCCAAAAAAAGATCAGAATTCTGCTAGTAAAGAAAAAAGATTTTGGCTTAAACAACTAGCAGTGTCAACCACCCTGCTCCAAGGAGCCTCAACACACATCCAGGGAGCTCTGACAGATTATTGAAACACCAGACTGACAACTGTCTGAGGTTTAACCGTGTTTCAAATGGGAGAATTTGGTTGTATTGAGTCTCACGTATAAAGTATATTTTTCAAAGTAGGCACACTTATTTTTTCTAGTTGATAATGTTGAAGAATTGGCTGACAAAAATGTCACTTCCACGAATTTGTCCCAAAAGATAACTACAAAGTTGTGCAAAGGGGCATACATAAGGAAGTTCATCAAAGAGTTATTTAAAATAGGAAACATTTGGGGGAAAAACAAAAATGTCAATCAATAGAAAACTGATTAAATGATGATAAATGTCCACTTAATGGACACTATGTAACTTTTTAAAATGAAGTTACTGGTGACATGCTGTTCAGTGAGAAAAGAACTGTGCACGTAAGATCCAATTTATGAAGTACTGTATTTGTCTTTGTTTTTTATTCTTAGAGATGTATAGAAGACGATAACATGAATATTTTAAATGGTTATCTCTATGAGATTTGGGGGAAAAGAACACCTGTATTTGTTTGAATAGTATGTATTGTTTTCATCAAAATAGTAGCTATTTAAAAAAATACCCAAGAGTGGGAGGGGCTAACTTCATCCGGTATTCTTCATATCAACAGTACTTGTTGCCACTAATTTTCTTAGACATGCTGTGGCTGAACTTATCCTTGGATAGGTTTCTTATTTTTGCTCACTGGAAATATGTCATTCCTTACTCATTATAAATTTCACTAAAATTAAAATGAGGTAAGAAATCATGAACTTTTTTTGCTTTGTTTTCCTTTCTATTGGAGCACTGTGACATCCTGTTTTACAGCAGCTGTGGAAAGAAAGGCTGAGGAAGAGAAGATGTAGGCAAAGATGTAAGAGGGAGAAGTCTGGAGGCATGGGTCTGGGAAAGAGCACTCACCTGAACATCAGACTGTTGTCAGTCTGGTGTTGCACTTCCTGCTTGAGCCCACCAGTTTATCTTTCTGACCTCAGTTTTCTCATCTGAAAAATGGGAGGTTTGGTTAAGAATCACTAGGTGTTTTAAAATTCTTTTGGAAGATTCTTTTGGATCTATTAATGGCATATCCTGGGAAACTACACTTGGGCTAAATCTAAACAAATTAAAGAAAAAAAATGACAACAACAATAACCTACACACGCTGTTTCGTATTTCTCCCAGGCATGTTGTTAAGTAAGTTGCCAAGATTACACAATAGGTGGAGGGACCAAGATTCCAGCCCAGAGCCTACACTCCTAACAGCTACGCTGAAAGTCACTGAAGAACTACCTGAGGGCCTTTAAAGGAAACAAGATAGCTTTCTCACCTTCAAGGTAGGCCTTGTGGATGCTGGTTAACCCCAATAAAGCCAAGACCTTACCCCCACCTCCTGACTGCTTTGAGGTTGCCTCCATGGCTCGCAGGCTCTCCCTTCTCAATTCAAAGATAGGTTTCTGATTCAATGTCCTTTTGCCAACTAAAGGAGGTAAGTTTTGCAAAGCCCCGAGGAAGTTCTTCCTGCCACTTGCCTGACAGCACTGAAGTCATGGCAGAACCAAAGGCCCCGAGTGCCTACACAAGGCCTTATGGTATTATCATCAACTGAATTTTCAGCCCTTCCTACTTCACAGAACTGGTTACCCAGCACCCGTTTGCATATCTTATCTTGCCGTATTTCCTGTCATTAAGGCCAGAGAGATACTGGGAAAAGAGTGTGTGTCTGTGTGTGTAGGGGGGGGGGAGGGGGAGCGGGTGAGGTGGGGGGAAACGGAGAAAAACAAGGTAAGAGCAGGCTCCAGGTCAAAAGACTCCTGCAGGGCCAGATCCTGCCCTCAGACCAAGGTCCACAAGGCGCCCCCAGGTTCAGTCCCTGCTGTCTCACTGCTTCAGTCCCTCTCCCGGTCCGGAAGCTAGTGCAAGGCCCCGCAGCATCGGAAGAAAGGCGAAAGCCAGCAGAGAGGGGCGGCCAGTGGGCTTCCACTCCGGCTCCCTGAAGACCCAACTTCCCAGACGACCTTCGCCCGAGGGCGGGGCGTGCGCTCGGCGGCCAATCCCCGCGTCCGCACGTCGCCGTAGCCCCGCCCACTTCGCCCCCACTAGCTAGGCTCTTCCCTGGGGCCGGGGCCGCGGCGGCGACGTCACCGCTAGGAGACCCCTGGGTGGCGCCTGCGCCGTTGGCGGGCCGCGGCCTGGACCGGCTGCGGGGAGGGGCGGTGCGAGAGGGCGGGAGCGGGCGCCGGGCCCCCCTCGGCCGCCGCCGCCGCTGCGGCCGGGGAGAAATCTAGGCGGCAGCGGGCGGCCCCGGCTAGCGGCCACGAGCACTTCTGCGGCTGCCGAGTGGAGCGAAGGTCGCCGGTCTCGTGTCGTTCTCCTCTCCGCCCCCCAGGAGGGGCGAGAGGGAGTCGCCGCGGATGTCAGGTACGGCCGGCGGAGGCGCCCTCAGGCTGCGAGCCCGAGGTCTGGCTTCCCCGCGTCCTTCCCCGGCTCGGAGTGTTGGCGGGGGGAGCCTGGAGGGTGGCACCCGAGCGCGGGCGCCGCTAAACAGGTGTCTGGGAGTCGCCGCCGGGGCTGGGGGCGTGCGGGCTTCTGAGGGCGGCGCGGCACTTCCTGCGCCCGGCGCCTCTTGCGAAACCGCGACTGGGTCCGCCTGCCCTGCCGGCCCGCTATTTTTGTTCAGTTGTTGCTTTCCTTCTTTCGCCGCGGGTCCTTCCCTGTCGCCCTCGCGCGCCTCTCTCCTCGCGCGCTGCCCTGCAGTCGACCGGCGGCCGGGGGCGGCGCCGGGTTCGGCGGGACCCTGTAGCGGTCCTGCCCCTCCGCCCGCGGGTCGAGCGGGACCGGCGGCTCAGGTGTGGGCACCTTCCCCGGGAGCCGCTGGACTGCCGCGCCAGCCGGGCTCCCAGCGAGCGGGCACCTTCCCCGAGTGCCGGCGGCTTTCTCCGGGCTGTGGCGGATCTTCAGGTTTGTCGGGGACACATGCCCCTTTTTAAGTCCCCCTGGCTTGGCGGGATGACCGAGCCCGGTGTGCCCTGGGCACTTGCCCGCGGGACAAGGAGGAGGAAAAGGTTTCCTTCTTCTCTTCTCCTTCCCCAGGTGCGAGTTCATTAGTAGGTGCTGCCAAGGTGGCCATACAGCTGGAGTTTGGGTAAATTATGTTCTCTTAAAAGATGACCGTAATGTAGGGGGCGGGGACTTATTTCTCCCTAGCGCTTACCCTAACGCCTGCCTATACCACACGCGCTGGAAATGGTGACTAGATTCATGATCTGGTTCTCTAAGCTCATTATAGATATTGTGGCATATCCTTTTTACGTTGTCGGGTTGGGAGCTGTTATGTTAAGCTAAACCGTGGATTGATTCCATGATGAAATTTAAAAGTTAGTTGTAAAAGTTGGAACTTGAGTGCGTTAGAGTGGGTGATTAGGCCGAGGTGTAAGGGGCGGAAATAGGTTCCTGTACGACCAGCTGGGCGTAGAACAGAGAGCCAGCTGTGCTGGGCACCGGGAGCAAGCGTCGTGCGTGACTTCAGGGCGTTTAATTCCGGTGTAAGTATAGACGGTGGGAATCTTGAGTTTCTTGTCTTTTTTTAAAAATTTCTTTATTGATTAAGTTATTACATATGTGTCCTTATCCCCATATTCCTTGAGTTTTTAAGAGGGGTTTAGACCGCTTTTTACACCTTTATCAGATAAATGTCAGATGAGTCTTGTGTTTGATGCTGTGGGCTTCTAAGTATCGTGTATAGTAAACTAGACGCATTTTCTGCCTGCCTTATTGTGTATTGATGATGTGCAATTTAAGTGAATATAAAGTTTCAAGTTACCAAACAGTTAACTCTTTTTTACCCTATGTTCAGTAAAATAATGATTTAGTCAGGAAAGTATGACTCATTAAAGTTCTTCACAGGAAAGGAGTATTGTTTTTTAGTACTAGTGGAGAACTATTAAATGTCTCTCTCAAATTTGGTTGGAATGTTTCAATGAATCTTTTTACTTAGGACTCAGCATTTAAAAAAATATTTTGTGGTTACTACCCATTTAAAGTATGGTTTTTTTAAAAAAATGCTTTTTGGTATAGATTATATATTGCTGAGTAAATTAAGTATTCAGAAATTCTTGGAATTCTTAGAATTTTATCACAGACTTATTTAGGAGTACATATAATGAATTAATGTTCACTTAGTCATGGCAATACACAAGTTTGTCACTAGACTTATGCCTTTTACTATATATTTGTATATTGATTTGTGCTCACTAAGATAAAAATTGCATCATATATAGCTTATGAACTTTACAAACCATGGCAATATAAAATAGTCTTTGTGTGGTAAAATCATTGATTGGAATTCTTGTGACAGTACAGGCATAAACAATCATTAGATGGAAATGGACAATCATGCTGAACTTCAGTTCAGATTCACTTACAACTTTAAGCTTCCAAGTATAAGTATGTGACTTTTAGAAGATTTGTTGAGATTTAAGTAAAAAGGTTAGTATACAAACTAACAAGATTGAAAGAAAGGCATGACAAAATTCTTTTACTGAAAATTCAGTGGGATTAAGGTCATTCTTCTAAAAAAAGCAAGAAGAAAAAATGGGGAGTTGTTCCATAAAAAGAGAAGTAGCATTTTATCATAAAATCTAAATGTGTATCTAATGTGTACTTAAATTTTCACTTTGTACTTAAATTCAAACATAAATGCCAAAATCTGTAATGTGTGAAAATAGGAAATGTGTCCCACCTTTTGAGAAAAAACTCCTGTGTCACAACTAGGGGGAGTGCTACTGGCATCTGGTGAGTATAGGCTCCAGATGTTGCTAAAAGTCTGACAGTAAACAAAGCCCCCACAACAGAGAATTTATTCAGCTCAAGATGCCAATTGTGTCAAGTTAAGAAACTTTGGCTTACCGGGACTTACACAGTTGGGGCATAGATGGTGGAGGGAAGAGGGTGTTTGTTGTGTAGACAGAGAAGACAATAGGAATAGCGGAGCTAATTGCACTGGGATATTTGGCAAACTAGAGTTCAGGATTGCTGAAGCATAAATTATAAGGCATGGAGTATTAACATATGAGGCTGGAAACCTGGACAGAGTCTAGGTCAAGGAGGGGCCTTATCATGTCCTTAGTTTTTGTCTTGTAGGCAGTGGGGTCCCATGGATTGATAGAGTTCAACTTTTCATTTTAGATAGGTCATTCTGATAACAGAATGGGAATAAATTGAGGAGAGATAGCCTTGAGTTGGGTAGACTGGTGAGCTATTGCAGGATCTTAGGGGAGAGAGGAGGGTCTGAAATAGGACAAGTAGTAAAAATGGAGAGGAGAGGATGGATTAGAAAAATATTTAGGAAATAAAATTGGCAAGATTAGGTAATTGGATGTGGGGTAAAGTAAGGAGAGTGTTAAAAATGTCTCCCTAATTTTTACTTTAAATAATCCAATAGCTTCTGGTGAAATAGGAACCCATTGGTCAGTAATTTAGGTAATTACCAGTAAATTAGGTAAGATGAGCAGGCTTAAGGGAGGAAGGCAGTGAGTCACTTTTGGACATGTTGAATTTAACATGCCTGTGGTCCAGGTGGAAATGCTTTGTGTGTGTATAAATCTGAAAGTTGGGGGAACTCTGGAAAGGATCAAGAGATCTTTTTGTGTAACAAGTGTGGGAAATTAGGGCAATTTAGTTTTTATATTATTTCATTCCCTATATAAAATATCTACCTTTATTTAAGTTTTGTCAGAAAAGTAATAGGTATGTACTTGATTTTTAAAAGTAAAACATAAAAAAGTTATAAAATGCAAATAAATTTGTCCTTGCTGCCCATGCCACCCAGTCTTAATTCCCAGAGGTATCCCTTGTTAAATATTTTGTATTCAGTAGTTCCCCCTTATCCATGGGGAATATGTTCTAGGACCTCCAGAAGATGCCTGAAATTGTGGATAGTACCGAACCCTGTTATACATACATACTTCGGAGATATTATGAGTTCAGTTCCAGATCATTGCAATAAAACAAGTCATAATCTTTTAGCTGGTGGAGGGTTTTGCCTTTAATTTGTTTAAAAAAAAAAAAAGGCAACATCTGTGAAGCACAATAAAGCAAAGTGCAATAAAATGAGGTATGCCTGTATATACTGGTTTTTTCCCCTCAGCATACATACATATATACATAACTTCTATGGTTTCATCTGATAACCCAACTACTAAATGCCTAACATGAGGGGGAAACATTTACAACCTAGATGTGTACAAAGGGATGATTCATGTCCTGGGTGGGACAGAGCTGGATGGTGCGAGATTTCATCATGCTACTTAGAACAGTGGGCATTTTAAAATTTACGAATTGTATTCTGGAATTTTCATTAAACATTTTTGGACTACAGGTAACTGAAATAATGGAAAGTGAAACTGCAGATAAGGGGGGGCTATTGTACATCATTCTAGAATTTTTATATATATACAGAAGCATTTAAAAACCCAAATGCAATCATACTATACACACTGTAGAGCTTTGTCTTAAAAAATAAATCTTTTATCTTACATGGGTGTTATGAGAGAAAATAAGTGAAAAGAGTAAAGTGGAGATTAATGGTTATAGAGCATCATCTCTTTGATATAAATTAAAGGATGTACATACATATATGCTTATACAGGCATTACTTTTTTTCCATGGATACATAAGAAGCAGTAGTAGTTACCTTTGGGGAGAGCTAGGTGTAGAGGTGAAAAAGAAAATTATTATTTCTGTATAAACTAATTCCTTGTCAGTAAATAAACATTGCTATGGCTACCAAGAACATCTTTCAGATTATGTCCCTAAGAGAAATTTCTGGTTATGAAATGATAGGTCGAGGCATATAAATTTCAAAAATTTAAAAGATATTGCCAGCCCTAGCCAGGTTGCTCAGTTGGTTGGAGCGTTGGTCCATACACCAAAAATTTTTGGATTTGATTCCTGGTCAGGGCACATTACTAGTACATAGATTGCATGTTAAGTACCTGTTTTTATATTAGGTTGATCTTTTGTTTTTCTCTTTATGATACTTTTTGTTTATTTTGGTTTTTTGCTGCACATATTTTTTTTAACATTTAATATAGAAACATACCTTTGAACCAGCAGTTTCACTGCCAGAAATTTATCCAATGAATAACCTCATACAATTTAGTCATAGCTTTGGATTTGGGGAAGATCTCAGTTCTTTATATAAAAATATAAAAATAGGTTTTCTCCTAATTTTGTTTTTATTTTATTTTTTTAAATATTGAAATCTTAGAATCATTTGGAATTTGAAAGAGAAAGGTAGGAATCCATCTGTGCTTTTTACTCTTTTCCCATATGATTAATTCAATATCATTTCTTGAATGAGCCATCTTGATTTGAAATGCTATGTGGCTTATGTATTAAATTTCCATATGTGCTTGTTTTTCTAATAGATTATTTTGATCTGATAAAAACCAACAGGGCTATCTTTGGGCTTACAAAGGTAGGTTAATTAACTTGCTATGAGAGACTAAACACCAGAGGAACTGTCAGCATTTCACTAAATAAAGAAGGGACAGGGCTATTATAGGGTTTTGAACAGTGGGGTTTAGATACAATTTAAATGAATCAATATTTGATAGGTTTAAAGCACAGGGAGACTGTGTGTCAAGGAGTTAATTAACATCAGGCATAAGCTAAGAAGCCCAGTCAGAGTCCTGTTGCCTTGGAGACTACAAAGTTAAGATAAATGTGGAATGTTGTGTCTGAGAAACCCTTATCTGACTGATTTGGAAATTGAGGCTGCTTCTGTTAATGATTCATCATCCATGCAAGAGTGGGATGTTGTAATATCATTGATACACTTTGTGACAGTCTGGTTATAGAGAAAAAAAGTTTCTCAGTGCTATGTCTTTTAAATTAAAAAAATTTTTTTTACAGATTTACAGATACATTGATATGCCTGTTTGACCTGAATATAAAATTATTTTTATTACTATACCACCATTTATTGTAGCTAATATATTTTAATATTTGGTAGGCCTAATCTACCCTCCAACCCCCAATGTGTCCCTTTCAAGAATTTTCCAGTATACTCACCTGCTTATTTTTCCAAACAGCATTTAGAATAATTTCATCATTATTAGATTTTTAAAATCTTGTATTTAACTGGGTCTGGTAGGGTTAGTTCACCCCCATATCCCTTTCCAGAATTTCTCATGTTCACATGTTTATTTTTCCATACTATGAATACTTTATACCAAGTTGTTTAACTTTTAAAAAATCTTATATTTTTGTTGGGGCGCATTACATATATAGGTTACTTTGGAGAAAATCAACATCTTTATCATTGATTTTTTTTCCCTATTATTTTTTATTATGGTAAAAGACACATAAAATTTACCATCTTAACCATTTTTAAGTGTAAGTTTCAGTGGTATTAGGTACATTTATATTGTTGTGCAACTGAAATGCTATACCCATTAAACAATAACTCCCTGTTGCTTTCCCCCTCCCCCCTAAGTCCCTGGCAACCTATTCTACTTTCTCTCTGCATGATTTAAAAAAATATATGTTTTTATTGATTTTAGAGAGAGGAAGGAAGAGGGAGAAAGAGGTAGAAACATCACTGATGAGAGGGAATCATTGATTGGCTGCCTCCTGCATGTTGGACCGAGCCCTTTTCGTCAGCAGGCAGACGCCCTATCCACTGAGCCAAACCAGCTAGGCTTAAGAATTCTTTATATATTCTAAATACTAGTTCTTTTGTTAAATATGTGGTTTGCAAATATTTTCTTCCAGTTTAGCTTGTTTTTTTAGTCTCTCAGTAGTGTCTTTTGTGGAGCACAAGTTTAATTTTAATGAAGTCCAACTTATTAATCTTTCCCTTTTTTGGATTGTGCTTTTGCTGTCAAGTCTAAAGATTCTTTGCCTAGTTCTAGATCAATATTTTCTTTTGTGTTTTTTTCCCCCTAAAAGTTTTATAGTTGCATATTTTATATTTAAGTCCAAGGTTCATTTGGAGTTAATTTTTGTATAAGATGTGAGATTTAGGTCAAGATTTTTTTTTTAATTTTTTAAAATTTATTTATTTATCCATTTATTTATTTATTTATTTATTTATTTATTTATTTATTTTTGGCCTAGAGGTGCCCAGCAACATTTATTGAAAGTCTTATCTTTCCTCCACTCAGCTGCTTTTATACAAATATCAGTTGATTTTTGACATTATACATTTATCAAATATCTATTTTTCAGTTGTCTATTCTGTTCTATTGGTCCATGAGCCTTGTACTCCAGTACTATATAGTCTTGATTTCAGTCGCTATAAGATATCTTAAATTCACGTAGACTGATTCCTCCCGCTTTATTCTTCTTTTTAAAAAAATTGTTGAGCTATTCTAGTTCATTCACCGTAACATATACATTTTAGAATAATCTTGTCTATACAAGAAATCTTGAAAGAATTTTCATAGAAATTGAATTAAATCTGTTATCCAATTAGGGAGAATTGACATGTTTACTATGTTGAGTCTTCTATTTCATGAACATAGTCTGTCTCCCCAGTTTTTTTAGTTAAGTCTTGATTTTTTTTTAAAATCAGCATTATTTAATTTTTAGTCATATAAGGTATGTACATGCTTCCAATTGTTTTATGTTTTTCATAATGTTTATCTTCAAAGGGATCATTGAAAAGAGGGCAGTCATGTCAGAAATGTTTAGCTAACATTCAAAGTTTGTTTAGATTTATTTAATTTCTCTTTTTTCATTAATTCAAGTAAATCTATCTTAATATGTTAAGTATTTAAAATAGCAGGACTATTTTGTAAATATACAAATTTACAAGCCAAATTTTGTAAAACTATAGCAAAATGGTGAAGAGTTTGAAGTTTTTTTTTTTTTAGCCTCACCCAAGGATATGTTTATTGATTTTAGAGAGAGGAAGGGGAAAAGAGAGAAACATTGATGTGAGAGAGAAACATTGATCAGTTGCCTCTCCTACCTGCCCTGAGTGGAATTTAAACCTATAACCTACATATGTGCCTTGACCAGGAATTGAACCTGAACCCTTTTGGTGTACAGGATGACACTCCAATCAGCTGAGTCACCTGGCCAGGGCAAGAGTCTGAACTCTTGATTTAGATTGCTAATGTGATCCTGGAAAGGTTACTAACCTCTCTGTCTGAATTCATCTATGAAATGGGATCAGTGGTCTTTAGTTTATGGTTTAAGACAGTGGTCAGCAAACTGCGACTCACGAGCCACATGTGGCTTGCGAGCCGCAGTTTGCTGATCACTGGTTTAAGGTAATCCATATAAAGCTCTTAGTACAGGAATCAAATCTTAGCTATAATTATCTCTCCTTCTTTCTCTGTCTCTGTTATTCATAAAGACTAGAGGCCTGGTGCACAAAATTCGTTGCATGGGTGCGATCCCTAGGCCTGGCTGGCGATCGAAGTGTGAGCATCTGGTGTGGAAGGGCAGGTCCCAGCTGACCTCTGGGCCCTGGGCAGCACCTGGACCCCTGCACGCCCCCCTCCGCCTGAGTCACAGCACCCGAGTCCCCATTCGGAAATGCACTGAGCGCAGCCGGACACCACGGGTCGGGGCGCAGTGTGGGCCTCTGGGCCACCGAGCGGTGCCACACCAAAGCCGGGCGGGCAGCACGCTCTCTCCCAGCTGGCCTCATAGACTGGCTCCTGCGCAAACCCATAGGGAGCCCTACCAGCCCCTGTGGTCCCAGCGGCTGCGGCCCGGCTCACCCGGAAGAGGCTGCGTGGGTGTGGGACGAGCTCCTCGTGGGTGCCTGGCACCTGAGCATAGGGTCTTCCCTGCACACGAGCCCTGGTTTTCTGGGAGAGGGTAGCAGGGGGAGTGAGAGTGAGCTCAGCAGACACCTCACATTCTCACTGCACCTCCATCCCCGTCACCCCCGCCTTCAGGTAGCCAGCGAGAGGTTGCAGCCCCCTGCCCGGGCGCCACAGGAGGTTGGTCACCACCACCTACTCCCAGTTCCCCGTCCCAGCCCAGGGCCCGGCCTTAATCGGGTAATCAGGGCCTGCCAGCCACTGGTTGCCATCTGCAGGCAATGGGTTGGGGCCGGCCCCCCCACCTGACTCTCTCAGAGCCTTAGAGCCCCACCCCCTGCCACCGCTACTGGTCACCATCTGTGTGTCCTGCCTTGGCCTGGTGCTGCCAGCCCACCTGCTCCACCAGCCCGCCTCGGTCCCACTCTCGTCGGGGCCCGTCAGGGCCAGCAGCGCCTCCAATGCTGTGTTGCCAATGCCCGCCATGTTCTGTGCCACCCCCTGGTGGTCAGTGCACATCATAGTGAGTGGTCGAACTCCTGGTCGAACTCTTGGTCGAGAGGACAATTTGCATATTAGGCTTTTATTATATAGGACTAGAGGCCCGGTGCATGAAAATTCATGCACTGGAGGAGAGGGGTGTCCCTCAGCCCAGCCTGCCCCCTCTCACAGTCCGGGAGCCCTCAGGGGCGGGAGGCGACCCGGCGATCAGGGGAAGGCGATGCCCCCATCACACCTCTGCTGCTGCCACTGCCGGCAACCCAAGCCTCGGACGGCCCTGGTTACCTGAGCCTCGGGCGGCCGTGGGCAGCTGAGCAGCCACCATCCGAGGCTTGCTTGCGCCTCGGGCATCTGCTGGGCAGCCGACATCTGAGGCTTGCCTATGCCTCAGGCCGGCCCTGGCTGGCGGGGGGGGCTGAAGGCAGGTCCAGCCGCACTGTGCACCTGCCACATCCCCGGCTGGGCTGAAAGGACTGTGGGACTCTGGCGGCTGATGCAAGGAGAGGTTGGACCCGCCTGAGGGCAGGTCCAGCTGCATCGCGCACCTGCCACCCCGGTGGGGCTGAAAGGACTAGGGGACTCAGGCGGGGCTGAGGGGACTGGGCACCACCATCTTGTGGCTATGGGTGCTGCCATCTTTGTGGCGGCATGACGATCAATGTTCATATCCCTCTTTATTAGATAGGATGTTATTCATCTCTGTAATGATATTCATCAAAAGTTATTTCTAGGATTTAGAGTGATTTCTTTCTTCATGCAGTGCTTTATTGCTTGCTTGTTTTTTGTTGTTGTTGTTTTTTTAAACAAAGAATAATACAAACCTTTTCCTTAAAAAATAAAGTAAAAATATAAATTTTAGTTGTCCCAGCACTTTGCATCTGTAATTTCAGTTGTTGAGCCAGGAAATCTGTATTTTTAAAATGTTCCTCAAATGAATTTGATTGAATCATATTTTCCCATACTTGTATTTACCCATGTCCCATCTCAACAATGATTATTCACTTTTTGACTTGTCCATAATGTGCTGTTTTAGCAGTAAATTCATCCTTTTATCTCCTGTGCATAGGTAGAAGTTAAATATTCTTAGATATGTTCTCTTATATGAAAAGAACTAACTTTCCAGTATAGCTAAAAGTTATCAGACTTTTTACTTTTGGTATGTATAATGCTCTATAGTTTATAACATCCTATTTTTTTTCTTACAGAAATACACTTTTGGGAAATGGCCTCTAAATCTTGGCTGAATTTTTTAATCTTCCTCTGTGGATCAGCAGTTGGATTTGTTTTGTGTTCTCAGCTATTTAGTATTTTGTTGGGAGAACAGGGTGACACCCAACCTAAGATTCTTCATAATGATCCTCATGCTAGGCATTCAGATGATAATGGACAGAATCATCTAGAAGGACAGATGAACTTCAATGCAGATGTTAGCCAACATAAAGGTATGGATTACTTTATTAAGGAGTATTTTTCAGTATTAAACAGTATTTTTCAGTCTATGTAAGTATTGAAAGAATTGCAAAGAGTTATATGAATTTTGTTACATCACAGTATATCTTTTGATAAAAGTGATCTTAATTTTAGATGTTAAATGACAATTCTCAGTTTGCCTCAGAAGAAGGAAATTGCCAAACTTAGGCAGTAAAATATTGATTTTGAATTTATTTTTTAGTAGAAATAGTTCAGAAACTGTAATTTGGCAAAAGGCAAAACTTTTAAGTCTAGATTTGTTTCTGAAAATTTTTATTTAGTCTGATTGTGTTTCCATGGTTTATATCTGCATCTTTGTTTTTTGCTATCATCTTGTTTTGGTCTTTGTTTTTGCTTAGTTGTGTTTTCTTAGAGAAACACAAGAGGTATACATAAATTTTAATTTATAATTTTATCAATAGTTAATATCACTTATCTTGTTTCCTTTTTAGAAGCATAAAGAACTAGGGAATTAAAAAACTAAGGGTGTGTTGTAATGACTTCATTTTCTCCTTGCCTCATATCTCTAACTAGGTTTTCTCAATTGAGCCCTCTGTGTTCCCTTTAAATGTAGGCTTTCTCCAAGTCTCTGTCCTTTGGCTCTTCTTTGCCTGTGTGATGTCATCAACCCCCATAGTTTTAATTCCCATCTCTCCCTTATTGTCTTTATCATATATGTGTGTATATATATATATATTATTGATTTCAGAGAGGAAGGGAGAGGGAGAGAGACAGAAACATTCAGTGAGAGAGAATCATTGATTGGCTGCCTCCTTCACTCCCCCCAGTGGGGATCGAGCCCGCAACCTGGGCATGTGCCCTTGACCAGAATCGAACTCAGGACCCTTCAGTCCGAAGGCCAACGCTCTATCTACTGAGCCAAACCGGCTAGGGCTATTGTCTTTATCTTTAACCCAGTTCTAAACACTATAAAAAGGCATTAACACAATTCAAAGATCGCTGCAAATTTTGTGGTTTATTTGACAGAAAAAAATGCAACCAGCTTGAAAACAATTAGAATTCTAGGATGCAGAGGGTCCTCATTAACAGTTGTTTCTGTTATCTTTCTGGCAGTAAATTATTTCTTTCCTACCTCTCAAGTGGTGGTTGTAGGGCAAGGTGTCAGATCTTGGTTGAGTTTTGTGAACTAGCAAGCACATTACAACTTATTTTATGTTGTGTGAATGTTTATATAACAGTGATTCAGCTCTGAGCAGGTGTTCTTATTGTAAAGCAGTTTAATCACTGTGCATTTGCTCTGTAGCATTGCTATAGGTCTTGAAATGATCAATTGAATTGAGGCTCCTCTACTACTAGTAAGCTGTGCTAGGTTGACCTTACTGCAGGCACATATATTAGGTACCTAACTTGTCCTCCTCCAAGGCCCACAAAATGTAGGGTATGCTAAAAGTTCTGTTCCTCTCAAATTTAACATGCAGATGAACTCCTTTTCTTTCCTACTTCTGAAACTTACTCTGCCTTCTGTATCCCATATTTTATATATCTTATTACCATCTGCCCAAGTCAGAAACGTTGCAGTCATGGTAGATGCTTTTCTTTGCTTACCAGTCAATCACATTTGTTACTTAAATCTAGCAGTTCACTTTCTTTACCATTTTTCAGATTTCTTCTCTCAATCTATAGTGCTTTTCCCCTGATCAGGCCTCAACCAAACTTCACCATGCCTTTTGTCCTTTCTTTAGGTGAGCATCTACTCATTTAAAGATGTATTTTCTGCATTATCTCTTATTTTTGCTGATATTGCTTTATCCCCCCTTCTTTGTTCTAGCCAACTTTCCATTGCACTGCTCCATAGGATTTGCCAGCCACTGCTTTCTTTTCCCACAGCACATCAAACCCTTTGTACATACCTCAGAAATTATAGCATCTCTTAGTATGTGGCAAGTATTGGTTTGCAAATGTATCTTATTCATCTTGTTATCTCCTGGGCTAGCACATGCTTACTACAAAGTCATTAATGAGTGAGTAATTGAAAGAATGAGAAAGAATATCTACCAACGGGGAGAAAATTTTCTTGCTCTTAGTGAAACATATTGCAGATTCCTGCCTCCACCATCATCTTCCCTTTCCATTTAGGATTTGGTATGTCTATATAGCTAGGAAATTGGGCTCCCAAGTATAAGAACCATGAATTTTCTCTGATTGAAAATAGGGTGATTTTGTCCATTTTTAGATTGTGAATTCTTGATATTTATTGGGGCATAAGTATATTTTCATGTCCTTTCCCAACCTTGCCTTCTATTCCCTCTCAATCAGTTACCTAGAAATTTATGTCTTTAGTTGTTACTTTTTCACAGGTGTTAGCTTTCTTAACGCACTGGTTGACCTTAACTTTAAGGATGTGCTTTCTGAGGATTATGCCTAGAGCATTGCTATATAAGTGTGGTTTTGCAGACTCATGCTGGTCCACAACTAAAGAAGTATTGAAATCACAATTAAAAGACATTTTATGGTAAATTGACAATAATTTTGTCAAAATCTAAATATAAAAACTTACTAGGGCTTGGATTTTATATATGATTTTTATTTTTCAGTATTTCATTTTTAGCATGTTTGTAAAAGTATAGATCTCAAATTATTGTATATAAAAATTGGTCCTTCACAAAGCACTGATTTAGAATCCTATAGTTGAACTCTTCCTCTGCATATTGTTACTCAAAATGTGGTTTTGACATGACAGCCAGTGAATTGTTTGTTACTTACCTGCATCCAGATAAGGAGCTTGCACCAGGATATAAATCATTTCAGCTCACTGCTTAGGACTTTTGTAGAGGTGGAGGGAGAAGCAAAACTTCTTCAATGAAAAAATTAATATGCTGCTTTATATTCTGGCATATGCTCCTTACACATTTCTTTGCAAACCCATACTTTAAAAAACACTACTCTAGATGATCTTGGAAATACTACCTCTTCCTATTCATATGTTCTTTTTCTGACTGGTGGTTTTGCATTTTGTAATGAGGTATAGTACTATTGGAAGTAATCTCAACTCTGTATTAATGCTTCTTCATGAAACTGGGGTAGTTAGGAAAACTTTTTTTAAAAAGCCACCTTAGGGTACTTATAGAAATTCATAACAGTGGACTCTTGTGAGCTTCAAAATAAACTGCCACTTCAGCAGCATGTCTTTCCTGCCTTTCAGAGTTTATTCAGAGCAATGAAAAATTATTGAAAAATTGAAGTCATAGTGACAACTCTTGTTAGCTCCACTGATCTCCTGGATAAGATTGACATGAAACCAATAGATCAGAATGACAGTTCATATTAGGTTGAGTTTTGTTTTCTTTCAGTTAAATCACTAATGGTAGCTAGGTAAATAGAAACAGGGACAGGGGGTGGGGTGGTTCTTTGATACCGTTTAAGAAAATGTCTTCTTCAACATAATTTATTTGGATTTCACATTATATGTAAATGTAACTTTGAAATTTTCTGTTTAATAGATGAGAACACTGACATCGCTGAAAACCTCTATCAGAAGGTTAAAATTCTTTGCTGGGTTATGACAGGACCTCAAAATCTAGAGAAAAAGGCTAAACATGTCAAAGCTACATGGGCCCAGCGCTGTAATAAAGTGTTGTTTATGAGTTCAGAAGAAAACAAAGACTTCCCTGCTGTGGGATTAGAAACCAGAGAAGGCAGAGACCAGCTATACTGGAAAACAATTAAAGCTTTTCAGTATGTTCATGATCACTATCTAGAAGATGCTGATTGGTTTATGAAAGCCGATGACGATACATATGTTATACTAGACAATTTGAGATGGCTTCTCTCAAAACACAGCCCTGAAGAACCCATTTACTTTGGGAGAAGATTTAAGCCCTATGTTAAGCAGGGCTACATGAGTGGAGGAGCAGGATATGTACTGAGCAAAGAAGCCTTGAAGAGATTTGTTGATGCGTTTAAAACAGAGAAATGTACACATAGTTCCTCTATTGAAGATTTAGCACTGGGAAGATGCATGGAAATTATAAATGTAGAAGCAGGAGATTCCAGAGATACCATTGGAAAAGAAACTTTTCATCCCTTTGTACCAGAGCACCACTTAATCAAGGGTTATTTACCTAAAACATTTTGGTATTGGAATTATAACTATTACCCTCCTGTAGAGGTAAGTTTAGAAATTTTATTACAATATAAATATTTAGACTGACTTTTGCTTACTTTAAAAAAAACCCAACTAATATGTGTATGTTTCTTTAGTAACACTGAGAATCTCCTTTAGTCTTTTTATGTAGAGTGACAGTATAACACAGTAAATAACAATATGAGTGTCAGCAATACTCAGTCATTCAACAAATATTAGTACTACTATATGCCAGGCACTGGGACTATAGCAATAAATATGGCCAAGTTCCAGTTCTCATTAACTTTATATTCTAGATGAGGAGACATATAATAAACACACAGACTAATTAAGATATAATGTGATTCTAGGTTGTGGTTAGTGTCCTGAAGAAAACGCCATGCAAGGGGATGCAGAGTGACTCAGAGTAGAGTGGGGGTTCTCTAGTTTGGGTGGTTAAGAAACAATGCATCAAAAGACTCTGAGGTTCAGAAAGACCTACTTAATAGTTGAATGACGTGGTATGGACAGAATTTGCCTAACTTCCTAGCATCATTTTTCTCATTTGTAAAATGGTTATGATCTACCTTTCTCATCCAGTTGTAATTACAGTGCAGTGCAGTGTCTATCACACAGTAAGTACTTAATAAGTCTTAGCTCTCATTTGACACCTTAACTTATAAATTCTTGAGAATTTTAAATTACATTATTTTATTAAATTTTTCAGACATAGAAATATTTGAGAAAAGTATAATGTCTTGTACCAACAAACCAGGTTTACCAAATATTAATCTTTTGCTACATTTGCTTCAGATTTTTTTAAAAGAAAAAGGTTATAGATATAGTTGAGGCCTGTGTATCCTCCCCAATCCATTTCTCCTACCTCCTTCTTCAAATAATATGGATTTAATATTTATCATTGCCAGACTTGTTTTTATATTTTTCCTACATGTTTATGTGTCCATAAATAATATATAGTATTGTTTTACAGATTTTTAAATAAATGGAATTATATCATATAGTAAAACTTATCAACATTAATCTATGTATCTGCTTTATTAATTTAGACTTCTGTGTAATAACCTAATATATGAATGTACTGTAATTTATCCATTCTCCTGCATATGAACATTTAATGGACTGTTGCTGGGTTTTCACTATTATGACCAATTACAGCAGTGAATGACTGAAAGAGTCCAGGCATCACAAAACCCAGCTTTTATACTCAGTTCTGTTATCTGTCCTATATAATAAAAGCCTAATATGCTAAGTGTCCGGTCATCTGGTCAGCCGTTCAGCCAATCAGAGCATAATATGCTAATGATATACTAAGGCCACTCAACTGTTCGCTATGACGTGCACTGACCACCAGGTGACAGACAGTTGACCGGTCGACCAGTCACTATGACATGCACTGACCAGCAGGGAGCGGATGCTCTGACTGGTAGGTTAGCTTGCTGCTGGGGTCCGGTCGATCGGGACTGAGCGAGACGGGCCAGACACACCCTGGAGCCTTCCCACGGTCCCTCCCTGGCCCCGATCATGCACCGGTGGCCTGCGCCCTCTCTCAATCTGGGACCTCTTGGGGGATGTCTGAGAGCCGGTTTTGGCCCAATCCCGCAGGTCAGACCAAGGGACCCCACTGGTGCACAAATTTGTGCACCAGGCCTCTAGTCTATGTATATAAAAGCCTAAGCAACTAGATGACCGGACAACCAGACCATAGCTATGATGTGCACTGACCACCAGGGGTACAGATGCTCAATGCAGGAGCTGCCTCCTGGTGGTCAGTGTACCCCCACAGTGGGAGCGCCGCTTAGCTGACGGATGGGCGCCAGACGCCAGGCTCACAGATGGCGAACATAGCTGCAGCAGCGCGAACCTCTCCCGCCTCTGCAGCAGTGCCACTGAGCGGCAGCAGGCTCAGCAGGGCCAGGATGAGTGGGAGCAGCGCCCCAGCCACCTGCTGCTTCGCACACTTTTACATCCCTCAGGGCCGAAACCAGTAGTCCGACATCCCCCAAGGGGTCCCGGATTGTGAGAGGACGCAGGCCAGGCCTCTAGTTAATTAATAATGCCTCTAGGCAAGTTACTAGAATCCTGTGCCTTCTTTTCTCTGGCCCTATGATAAAAGTAAGATACGTCATGCCATCATTCTCTTCACAGACTAGAACTTTTTTTTTAATCCTCACCTGAGGATATTTTTTCATTGATTTTTAGAGAGAGGGAAAGACAGATAGAACTATCAGTGTGAGAGACACATTGATTGGTTGCCTATTGCATGAACCTTGACCAGGGCCTGGGCCCAGAAGGAGCCTGCAACTGAGGTATGTGCCCTTGACTGGAATCAAACCCAGGACCCTTCAGTTCACCTAGGCCAGCACTTTCAAATCATCACCAAAATAGTAGTTCTTGACCAGGGGCTTTTTTTGTTTGCTTTCCATCTAGAGCAACCTGAAGTTTAGGTATCCTAACCAGGAATCAAACCTGCAACCTTTTGGTGTACAGGGCGATGCTCCAGCTGAGCCACCTGGCCAGGGCTTATAGTGCACCTTTTATTTAAATTGTAGTCAGTTTTAAAATGGATGGCAAAAACTAGTTTTTATGTAAAAATTTATTCAGTTATATTGAAAACTATAAAATAGATTTGGGAGTGCCAATACTGACCCAGACTTCCAATGTTGCCTCTTCTCTCTTAGAAGATTCTATATAAACCCAATGTGAAATCAAACTTCTATTACTCATCCATTATTTATTACTTTTCCTCCCTGAGTTACTATTTTAAAGCCATCCTAAATATCATACATACATTCTCTGTAGCACTCACTAAAAATACAGTGTAGAAAAATTTTATATAGCAAGTGAGAGTGTAAAATATTCTAGTTGATCGGAGTTTATGGTCTTAAGTTGGTTGTTCAGAACTTTACTTTTCATACAGTTCCCTTCTCATTCCACCTTCTCAATTCCCTATAAGTGAGTCTGTTCTCTAGAAATAGACTTTTCACCAGAGAATTTGCAGTCATAATATAGTGGATTTAAAATAGACGTGTGTGTATTTATATTTATATGTAAATACACACACACACACACAAAAGGAGTAGGCAAAAATAGGTTTACAGTTTAGAGTATCTGAAACAGTTTATCCTTGTATTATTTTATTTTTTCTACTAGAGGCCTGGTGCACAAAAATTTGTGCACTCGGGGGGTGGTCCTTCAGCCCGGCCTGTGCCCTCTCGCAGTCTGGGACCCCTCAGGGGATGTTTACCTGCTGGCTTAGGCCCACTCCCCGGGGGGATCTGGCCTAAGCTGGCAGTCAGACATCCCTCTGGGAGCCCTCGGGGGATGTCCACTTGCCAGGGGGGAGCAGGCCTAAGCTGCAGTCAGACATCTTTAGCACTGCTGAGGAGGCAGGAGAGGCTCCCGCCACCACTGCTGTGCTGGCAGCCGTCAGCCTGGCTTGTGGCTGAGTAGAGCTGCCCCTTTGGGAGCGTACTGACCACCAGGGGGCAGCTCCTGCATTGAGCGTCTGCCCCCTGATGGTCAGTGTGTGTCATAGTGACCATTCATTCCCAGTTGTTTTGCTGTTAGGGTCAGTTTGCATATTACCCTTTTATAGGATAGAGGCCTGGTGCATGGGTGGGGGCCAGCTGGTTTGCCCTGAAGGGTGTCCCAGATCAGGGTGGGGGTCCCGCTGGGGTGCCTGGCCAGCCTGGGTGAGGGGCTGATGGCTGTTTTCAGGCTGGCCAAGCCCCCCAGCAGGGACCCTCACCCCATGGGGGTGTGGCCAGCCTGGGTGAGGGGCTGAGGGCTGTTTTCAGGCTGGCCACAGCCCCTTCAGGGTGGGGAAGTCCCGCTGGGGTGCCTGGCCAGCCTGGGTGAGGGGCTGATGGTCGTTTTCAGTCTGGCCAAGCCCCCCGATGACCCAAGCTCCCAGCCTCTCCTTTTTTTCTTTCTCTTTTTTCCTGGTATTTATTTATCTTCTATAATTGAAACTTTGTAGCCTTGAGCAGAGCCGAGGGCTGGCCAGGGCAGGCGGGAAGCTTGGCTTCCTCCATCGCCAGGGGCAACCCAAGCCTCCCGCTGGCTCCAGCTCCGTGGCCGCTGCCATCTTAGTTGGGTTAATTTGCATACTCACTCCTGATTGGCTTGTGGGCGTGGCTTGAGCATAGTGGAGGGATGGTTAATTTGCATGTTTCTCATATAGGCTATGAATAACTGTAAACCTACTTTTGCCTATATATATAAATATTTCCTTCTACATGTGAAATTGCCTCTTTCATAGGTCAGAAATGATTAAATATGACTTATTCTATTATTTTGTCAGCTTTATTTACATTAACTCTAATTCATCTGAAACTTACTAGCATATGATGAGGTAGCTCCTGATTTTTAAAAAATTGTTAACTAATTATTTCAATACCATTTTTTCATTACTGATTTAAAATACCTCCTTTATCATACACTATGGTATAGTGTCTGAATTTCAAGTTCTGTTCCATTGCTCTATTTGGTTTTGGCTCAGCACCATATGTTTATAACCTTGTAGCTTTACAAAATATTTAAGTTATTAATCTAAGACTGTTATGGCAACTCTTATGTCTTTTTCCTTGAGTATAAATTTATTAATTTAAGGACAGTGGACATAATTGCCCAGGATTTTTTAGTTTGCCTTTTAGGTCCCCTAGTGAAGTTTTATAGTTTTCTTCAGAATTTTATTCCTTCTTAAGTATTTCCCTAGGTATCTAATATTTTTGTTACTATTCTACTTAGACTCTTTCTTAAAACTTCTTAGGCTATATATATGAAAGCTTTTGGTTTTTTAAAGCATCTTTAAAATCTGGCTCTGTTCTTAGATTCCTTATTTTGCATGATTTTTCACTTGACACTTGAGTTTTTTAAATAACCATAATACTATGCAAAGAACTTTTTTATTTTTAATAATTATGGCTGTTTTATTATATTTTGTTGCTTATAATGCTTAATAATAACAGTATCCTGACCATCCATTAAAAAGCAATAATACAATAGAGTGTAACATAATTAATGCACTAAATCTTGTAAAAATATTATTACAATACTTCACAGTCAAATAAAATTGCTTCCATAGAGGATCAGCAATTTAAAACTAACTGCTATTGTTCTGGTTTTTTAGTTCAATATGTACTGGCCAGTATATAGCCACTAACATTAACCATTGAGCGCTTGAAATGTGACAAGTCCACATTGAGATGTGCTTTAATTATAAAATTAATGACTGATTTCAAGGTCTTAGCACAACTGAAAAGAATGATTTCATTAATAATTTTAAAAATATTACATATTGAAAAAATAATATGGATTTATTCAGTAAGATTAAATTAATTTCATCTACTTTTACTTTTTAAATGTGGCTATTAGAAAATATTAAACTACATTATGTGATTCATATATACCTATTGTACAGAGGTAATCACAAGTTGACTTACAGTTTACTTTTCATATTTGTTTCTATTATGTTCCCTCAAGCTTTAAAAAGTAGGCACCAGATAATATTTCAGTGCCTACATAGTTGTCCAAGATTTCACAAACAGTGTTTCAAAGGAAAAGTTGAGAATCAGGCCAGAGAAAATACAATGAATAATTTCTTGATAATTTTTAAGCATTGTCAGCTGCATACTTCCAAACATAAATTATTAAATGTTCAATTTTAGTAGGTCAATATGAATCTTCTGTGGTAACTTACCAGACTGTCTTTCTCCTTGGGTCCTTGCAAAGACATTAGATAGGATCCCAGTTTTGTTGGAGTCACCAGAAACATTCTCCAGATACTAGTTCTGATCCCCAAGTGACCCGTGATTGTTTAATTCTATGACCAGGTTTTTTTTTTCCAGTTTTCTATATTTTTATGCGTTTTCATTCCTGTTTGTTGTATTTTTATTTTGTTTTGTTTTAAACTTGTTCTCATACCATCTGTATTAGGAATGTATGAGAATTACATAAGTGTGAATGAAGGTTTGAAACTCTGACTTATTGAGGGCCACCTGAATGTGATTGTTCTATCAATAATAGCTGACATTTATTGAGCATATATTATAGGCAAAGCATAGTCCTAAGCATTTCATGCACATTATCTCCTTTAACCATCTTTTGCAGATGGGGAAATTGATGCTTATAAAGATTTAATAACTTGCCAGTGTCATACACCAGTAGGCAAAATTTGGATTCAAACCTAGGTTTGACTCAAAACTTCCTCTCCTACTATTTGGGTTAATGTGTAGATGAAGTATTAGATTGCAGACACATAACTGGCAAGGCTTTCTAGTTACTGAATGTTCTGAAGGTACCTTTCTGGAGCTCAGCCAAACGAAAATTGATAGTGAGAAAATTATGAAGAGAAAGCAAAACTTGAAGAAATAGAGCTTTATCCTTTGTATTGAAAAAAGTCTCAAGATTTTTTTCTGCTGAAACACTGTAGAGTAAGAGAATATTATTTCAATTTGAAATGCTTTAGCAATTTCATATTTGGTTTTAAATCAATAGGAACTTTAAAAAATCCTTTCTTCCAGGTCTAATAAATTAGGTGCCTCTTTAAACCTTGCCAGCTTTAATTATTGGATTCTGTTAAAGTTAGTGTTTTCTTTATCACTTTGTGCATACTGTATTTTAACAATGTGCTACTTATTTAATAATGTCTGTTTCCTCTACTTTTTTAGGGTCCTGGTTGCTGTTCTGATCTTGCAGTTTCTTTTCACTATGTTGATCCTACAACCATGTATGAGTTAGAATACCTCGTTTATCATCTTCGTCCATATGGATATTTATACAGATATCAACCTGCCTTACCTGAAAATATACGGAAGGAAATAAGTCAAGCATACAAAAATGAAGATCCAAAGTAAAATTTGGGAAACCTTGAAAGAAAAGCATAAATGAACAGAGGTAAAATGTCTGACATTGCACTGAAGAAGAACTTCTGCATTTCTGATGTAGAACACTGGAAGCCCAGTGAAGAATTCTAAATGAACATTCCGTATTAGAAACCTTTCATATGAATGCCTATAAACTGAAGCTTTAATAAGCTGTGAAGTCTGTTAAAATGTGTTTTGATACAGTAATATATATATATACATATGAAAAACTTGTGTTTTTATAATGTTGGTAAGGCAGAGGGGCTAAAAAGATTTTGTTGCCTGTTTCTGACCACATGTATCATTTTCACTGGGAAGCTAAAACTACACTGTACCATATTAATAACACACACATGATGCTAAACAGATCTGCCTTAAAATTTTAGAAGGAAGTATTGTTGTTCAGTGTTGTTTATAAACTCAAGACATGAGTTTATATTCACAGTATGGTATAAATGAACCCCTCCTCTCTCAACACATACCCGTGTGTAGTTTTGGCTAATCTAAATTTTGCTGTGACTATTTAAAATTGGCAATATTTCTTTCAGAAGAAGGTAGAATAAGAATGGCACTCATCCCAATGCGCATTAATAAACCACATTTTGAAATGATCATGGACCTTGATTATAATATATGTATATACTTGGTTCTAATTAATAGTTAACCGTTTATAGGCATACCTCGTTTTATTGCTTTATGTGCTTCACAGATGTTGTGCCTTTTACAAGGCAAGAAAAAATTTTCTCTCCTCAAGAAAAAAAAAAGATAACGACTCGCTTTATTGCGACACTTGCTTTATCGTGGTGGTCTGGAACTGAAACCGCAGTATATCTAAGGTACTATGCTGAGTCGCCATTGTCTCTTCTAAATATGTTTAACCATTCTTGGATACCATTTTCAATTATTAATATTTACTCAAAGCTTTAAAGCATTTGATTAAATATTTTGTTCCCATATTTACCCATTGTTAATTATGGGTAACTAATAAATAATAACTTTAATGCTGCTTGGGGAATGTTTTTTGATATCACTGCCACTCAGGAATTACTAAGCTACACTTTTAATTGATCATTTAAAACTCTTTCCAACTACATAATTATAGTTTTTTTCATTCTTATCCTGTTGAGAGATAAGAACTTGTTTTGTGCCTTTCATAACTTCTTTAAAGCAGTTTTAAAATTCATTTTTAGGATCTAAGATGGTTGTTAATTACACTGGCAAAATAATTTGAATGCAAGATTTTGACCAGAGTTAATTAAAAACATTAGAAAATGCACAATGCTTAAACAAGCTGAAATATGTCAGGTATTGAAAGACAAAATACTTATTTTATGAATAATATCTAAATTTGATGCTGACTTATGTACAGGGTGGGGCAAAAGTAGGTATACAGTTGTTTGTATAGAAAATAATACAATAATTAATAAATAATACAAGAATAAATGCTATTTTGTCCCATCCTCTATTTGGGGATGATTGTATTGCCAATGGATAGATAATTCCAGTTGAGCAGAATACCCATTCAAGACTGTCATCAAAAACACATTCATGAATATTTTGTTCTTATTTTAGTGACCCTCTATTTAAAGAGTTTCTGGAAGGAAAAAAAAATTAGTTTTTGTTATCTTTAGCATATTACCTGAGTGTATCATAACAATATTTTACAGACTTTCTGTAAGATTATCATAAATGGTACAAATGATTTATATTTCTCTTATGTTTATCATGCTAATTTCACATGGCTGTCACACCATTGACTCTGCTGTTTAGCTAAATAGTTTATATTTATTGTGCCAAAACATGTCAAAACTATGACCTCTTTAGAAGGTATATTTGAGAGGATGTTCATCTTAGTGGCCAATTATGGATACTATGTCTATGTAGTGAAAACTCACACCAATTTTTACCTATTAAATTGTTTTTTATTGTTTTCATGATGGTCATCTGCCAAAATTTTAAGGCATTCATTCTGTTCTTGAACAGCTCTTCACTTTGGTGTGGATATGAATTTATCTGAGTCCATATTTGCTACTTTTCTGTACTAGAAGTATAAATAGTTTATTATAAACATCCAAAAACCTTAAAATTTACTCAAAGGAAATGAACATTGTGATAAATCCTGGGGTCTTGAGTTAGACTACCTGGGTTTAAATTCTTGCTTCATCACTTACTAGTTTTGTAATCTTGAGCAATTTCCTTAATCTCTCTGTGCCTCAATTTCCTCATCTGTAAATTAGGGACAATAACACTACCTACCTCACAGGAATTTTATGAGGATTAAATGAGTGAATATATGTATGGCTTTTAGAATACTGTCTGGCCCAGAGTATGAAGCAATAAATATAAGGTTTTAGTCTGTTAACTTGGAGTGTAAATATTTGTTTCAAATGAATGAAAAAATCTGCTTTAATCAAATCAGATATTGAAGGAAATACTTTATTCATTTCTTATAAGTAATAGCTAGTTTTTATCTGATGCATATTATATGCCAATTACTGTGCTTAGATACTCTTTGTACATTAGTGTTAATCCTCACAAATTGGATGCTATTCCCATATTATGGATGTGAAAACAGAGGCTCAGAGTTAAAGTACATTTTCCACTGTCACAAAGCTAATAAGTAATAGCTGGGATTTCTACTCAAAGCCTATGTGTTCTTTGTACCATATCAGCCCAGAGGTTAGTCATTTAGCATTTTTTCCATTTTTACTTACTGACATGTGATACATTGGCCAATAATAGTAAAATTAACCAACTTGTCATGATGCTTCTCAGATTGTGGTTTTTATACTCTTACCTGGGAGCTTGTTAAAACACCAGTTTCAAGACCCCAAGCCCAGAAATTCTGAATCTAGCATGGGGCCCAGGACTATTGTTCATTCTTACTAGATACCCTTAGACTGTGGTTCTCAAAGTGTGGTCTAAATCTACAATGTATCAGTATCATTTGGGAAATTGTTGGAAATGCCATCTCCTGGGCCTTGCTCATACCTATTGGAGCTAGAGTTATGTTTAAACAAGCCCTCCAGGTGAGGCTTATTCATCCTAGTTTGAGAACCTGATAAACTCTGTGTGATTCTGATGCAGGTGATCCTTGGAACATACTAAGGATTAACTGCTGTGTAAGTAAAGTATCTTTCAAAGATTTTGATAAGGCATTTTAAAAATAAGTGTAGTCCAATATTACACTATATTAAATGTAAAAGACTTTAAAGCTGATTTAAAGGGTCAGTGGATCATTTATTTTGGCAAAATTCTTTAGCTTCTTCAGAGTGACTAACATCAGGACCCACACAGTAAAATCTATAATTCTTTGAGTTTAGGAATTTCACATTAGTGCAGGAAAGGTTCATTAAGTAGTACTAATTCATTAAAAACATCCTAAATGAGTGTCATCCCAAATGCCCACTATTGTTAATAAAAATATTTAAATAGAGATAGCAAAATACTATTTTACAATATGCATAATGGGTTGGGTTTTGGGGGTGTTTTTTTTTTGCTAATTTTGACACTATCAAAATTTCATTACTTTTAAGAATCAGATGACTGTCCTACATGACCTTATAAAGCAAAAAATTCAAGTATTTGATAAAGTACATAAAACCAGATTTCATGATAATACTGACTTATATTTTAAATTAAGATCTCTGTCATTTGGATAAATGATTTTAATGTGGCCTCTCCATAACAGTATGCTTGTATTTTCAATTGGGAAGTTCATAGATGATGCAAAGCAGATTGTTGTCCCAGAGCTAAATTATTTGTTTTTAGATACCTTAAATTTCAGAGGAGCATTTGTTACTATAAGAAGATTAGAAAATAAATCACTGACCAGTTTTGAATATTTTTTGAAATATGGTCATTGGATTTGGGCATTTAATTTGCTAACTGATTATTTTCATAATTGTTTTTGAGTGTTAATTTTTCACTTCCTTGAGCCTATCAAACTGCAGTGTCCCCAAAAATGTATACACACTTTTTTGGAATTACTAATTATTACATTTTTGGAGGACATCCTATATATTACCAGCTTGAAGATTGAAAAATCCCTCACTTGATTGATTCGATAAAATCTGTCCTTTTATTCTCCATTTAAATTTTCAGTTTAGAGTATTATGTCTTTGACAGTTTCTGCTTCTTTGTATTGATTGCCCTTTCTTTATTTTCTAAAACTATTCTCCATATTCTAACTACTTCCCCCCCCCCCAACTACTCCTAATACTGCCTTCACAAGGTTAATTAGCTGTTATTAGTGATTAGAATTTGTATTGCTTATTGATAATTTCATACCTATTAACTTTAAGTTTCCCTATGAGTTTAGAAGTAGAAATCTGTCTAAGAATAATGTCTGCTGGCTCTCAGAATATTGCCCTACTTAAAAGTCTACAATTTTAAACTAATTCTAGATATATAATTATTAAATGAAGTAAAGTTATTTATATTCCACCTCCCCCCTTTCTCAAAACAAACCAAACAACTCATTTGCCTGATTTCTCTACTTTATAGTAGGCCTGACAGAAACATACTTAATAAATCTGGGGGATAACCTGTGGTTTAATTTATGCTAAATGTAACTTTTCTTTAAAATTACTTATGTTTATATAATTACTTATGTTGAAATAGAAATTTTAATACAGATTAGAGTAAGAAATTTTACCAATTCTCTATAGAGAAACCAACCTAAAACTAGTGTTCTATTTCAACTTCTTTACCTCTCTAGTTTTCAGTTTTTATCAGTTCAGTTTAAATAACTTTGCAGGGCCCTGCAAATTAATAATTCATATAAGGTATGTTATTAGAGGGAAACTAATCTTACTGCTAAGCAGTGTGCTATATTACACAGTGAATGTTTGTGTTTTGGAATTTAAAAACTATGTAAGGTAATAGTGTCATGAATGGTTTAACAATGTCTGGTGACTTGCTTATTTTAAGTGATCACCGATAAGTCAGAGAAATGTATTTTTAAATATGTTTTTTAAAGTGCCTTTTGAACATTTTTAAATAATGGATTTAAACAATTGAGTAAAATAAATTACCATGTTTAAAGCTGTTTCATCTGATTATTTTTAACTTATGTAAAAGTTGCGGGAGAAACTCATCCTCTGGGTAATTTGGGAGTTATTTTATAGAAAATATTGATTTAAATTGTGGTAGAGACACATCGATTGGTTGCCTCCTGCACGAGCCCTGATCTTGGCCAGGGATCAAACCCAAGACCCTGGGATGTGAAGGCCAACTCTCTGATCACTGGCCAGGGCTGAATGAGACATTTTATATATGGCAAAAGGCATATCAAGTTCTTTGCTCCTACTATGTAAAAACATCTTTCCACCTTTGCTTATTCTGCGTATGTGAAGGCTCCCTGAAATGTGATCTATAGTCCAAAAACTTGTGTTTTGAGGCACATTTCATCCAGAGCTCAGGTCTATTGATTTAAATCAGTCTGGGACTTTGAAAATAGGAATAAAAATTGACGTGCCTCTTCCTAAGCAAATGATTACAAATGTTCATAAGACCCTTGAGTCTACCAGCCGTGGGCAAACTACGGCCCGCGGGCCTTGCCTACCCCTGGTCTAGCCTATCTGCTTCCATTTTCAGTAACCTGCTACCCTATATGTTCCTTGTTAGTGCATATGTGTACATTTGGATTAAACAGCTTTAGAAAAGCTAAGGAATTTCCCAGTTAGCTATATTTAGTTGTATCACTAATTGATAAATCATTAGAGAAGGGGTTTATTTATCTAAACATGCAGATTTACCACCTATTTCAAGTTTTCCTAAGGTATAGTCCAGTGATACGAGATTATTACTGAATTTATCTTCTTGCTAAACATTTTCTTTCTCAAACATATTTTACATCAGATTTAATAACACTGACAATATAGATTATCCAAATAGAAATTGCTTTCGTGTTTAAGACTGAATGAACATTAACAACTACCGTTAAGTTCAGCGACATTGACATTCTCCAAATAAATCTGTCACTATTAGTAGCACATGGAAGTAAACTTCGTTTTGCTGTGAGTTTGACTTGTTATTAATAAATGAATTTAGTATTGCTGCCTAGAATTTTACTATAATTTATGAAAAGTTGACGTAAGTGGAACCATTTTAAAATAGAGCTAGGGCAGCCATTCCAGAGGAACTGCTTTGTATGTCTTACTACTCAACATTTGGAAAGTTGGAGTTGGGAAAAACAACCTTTGGACTGGGCCAAACCAGCATTGTATTTCAAACAACTGTTTGCAAAGTTAACAGGAAAGCAGACATCCTGATTATCCACTAAAAATTAAAGACATATTTTAGAATTAGCACCACCATGTATATTTATAGAATAACTTAGCTTATTTGCACCTATAGAAATTCCTTCCTTCTACTCATGTAGTTATTTCCCTTTCCTTTCTCAAAAAACAAAACAAAACAAAACAAAAAACACCCTTGCCTTCACTCCTAATCAGTACACTACTTGTTTGGGTTTCTGCCTGTATCAGTGCTTCTTCCCAAACAGGTATTCTTTTTTATCTCAAATTAATACGTGTTGCCTCTCTCTTTGACCTTTTATTTTTAATGAACAAATTCTTAAAATTATCTTTGTGTTGAATCATTTCTTCTGCCAAAAGAACCACCAATTGTTTGTGCTGGTGTTACTCGTATTCTGTTATTGATGCTTGTTTTTACAGGACTGAAAATTTGTCCAGGTTATTTATTCTCTCTTATATATTGCCTCTGTATAGTGCAGTTGAATACAGCTGCTTACTTTGCAGTAATGAAATACTCATTATCTCTTTTTAGGCAATTCCTTAGGATGTAAGCTATTTGGGTTCTTTATTGAATGTCTAATGGAAGATTAACAGTACTTCCAAGTTCTGACTATTGTTAGCTTCAAATCTTTCTTCATAGAACTTACTCTAAACTGCATTGTCTTTTCTCCTTCTATACCTGTAACACTACAAACATACTCCTGGTAGCATTTAAGTTAAATTCACTTTCCATTAATTTTGCTGTTGTTAGATTGTAGAGGAATGGTGATAAAATCCAGAAAGTAGTTTAAAAGAGAAGCAATGATTCAACTTTTTGTTTAGTTCTATACAAGGCTGTCTTTCTGTATTTGTACTGTTCAGTGGTGTATGTGTGTCAGAAATAGATAGGAGTAGAAAGCTATGGTTATTTTAATCATTGGATTTATCTTTAATTAAAACGATTGCTTTTTCATACTAATTAGGTTTATATAATAAGTAATTGTATTTGATGAGGTGACAGTAACTATGTGCTTAGAATAATTTGGCATAGATTGTTTATAAAAAAATAATTTTACAAACCTACTTGCCTGGTTGAATTTCCCCTCACTTTTTGCCTTTGAGTTTCTAGCTCTTTCTGAATTCCCTATTCTTGTATTCTTTCATCCCATGTATTTTATTTTTTCTTTTCTTTTCTTCTCATTGGCAGTAATTCTTATTTAAGATTTTTTATTGCCCCACTTTCCATCAGATGTTTCGAAGACTAAAGAATTACTTAGCTTTTAAGAATTTTAATTCCCTCTCACCAGCTGAACAAACTTTCTTGGAATTAACTGAAAGGAGAAGGAAGAGACAGGACTTCAAGAATGCACGCCAGCATAATCCTAGAATTTGCTCTTCCTTTGGAAATGTTTCTTTCTAGAACCTACCCAACAAAAATATGGGTACATATTTTTAAACACGTGAAAACCAGTAGGAATCTGCCTTACTATTATTAACCCTAAATTGATGTCATCTTGTTTGGCAAAAGTGGTGAGTGAGGTTTTGAATGGCACTCCTTGTGGCTGAGGATAGCTCTTAGCAACAGAATCACAAATATTTCTCTACTTTGTGAAAAGTGAGGCAGAGGATTCTCCAGTGCTTTGCTGTTGCCTCCTGGTACATAATTGTGCACTGGGCACTGCCATCTTCTGCCGTGGTGTGTATGTGCCTTTGGAGAAGGGACTTGTCTTCTCTTATTACCACAGCACAACAGAGACCAGACTTCAGGAGTGTTCCAGAATAACAGAAGGAAAGTTCCATAGAATAATTAATGAGAGCTGCCCAGACGCAGTGGGATTCTCTTGCCTCTCACCAAGCTGTTTTTTCTTGAGCATCTGTTTCCAAGGCACCAGAAGTAGCTGACCTACCCCCCACTAGAAGCATTCTGGGTACCACCACATGCTTAGAGTCTGAGCTAAATTGACATCTGCCCTAAGAAAAATGAAGATCTCCCTTCACCCAGTCTGAACTTGTTACTCCTCACTTCCTGCTGGAAAACTGACCCTTCCCCTGGGAAACTGACAGTGGAAATATATACTCTCTTCAGAGAAGTGTGGTCTGAATTTGTGGCCCCAATAAGAAAATCGCCCAAAAAGTCTAACATCAGTATATTTCAGGAAGTCTGAATTGTTTGTGCTTAAGTAAATCACACACGGAGCAGCACCAGCCCAAAGCAGGTGAGGCTGCACCAGACTCACTGCTGTGCCTGTTCCATCTCACCGCATTAGGGTTTCAGACATAGCAGAGGCTCCAGCTTCAGCCATGGTCACCTCGCTACAACACTAGTCAGCTTTGAAACTTAACAGAATGGTACTTTATGATTTCATTTTTTATTATGTTCTCTTTTTTTAAATTAGCTACTTTTAAATCAGTCGCCACCCTCTTTAAAATAACATTTTGAAAGTGGGAGCAGAAAAAAGCGTTTGGAAATAAGTGAATGACCTCTATTTTCTTAGTGATCCTAAATTAGACTTGTGACCAGCTATTTCTGAGATCCTTAAGTAATCATGATAGTTGGTATTATTTTTCCATCTGAAAGTCTCCTAATCTTTACCAGGTTAGACCTTCATTTCATGTTTTATTGTCCTTAGACCCTCTTAGACTACTAAATCCTCACATTTACCAAATGGAAAACTATTCAGAGGTCGAGTGACTCAGTGAGGATAAGTGAAGCGGAACTGAGTGGTGAAATTTAACCTGAATCTGAAGTTTCAAAACATGGCCATATCCAGTGTTCTTTATCATACACTGTTGACTTAGAGGGTGGACAGGGATGAAAAACAGCTGTGTGCTCAAATTTTAATTTAAGATCACAAATGACCTCATTTGGGTCAATTGACCTCATAATGTAAATTAATGCCTTAATATAAAATTTTTGCTACATATTAAGCAATAGAAATTTATTTGGCCTCTTACTAATTCAGTAGTCTTTACCAATCCTAAACTTAACAGAATATTTTCTAAATTTGCTCTTTGATAACTCTAGATCACTGCATAGAATTATTTGAAACTTGTCAGGATGTCTTAAAGAATTTTCCTTTTTCCTCTTTACATCTAATTATACATAATTAGATGAGTAATTCCTCAGACTTTCTGTTGTTACTGAAACTGAAATAAGTAGAGCAAGAGAAATGGATACTGTAAAGATGTGAAGCAGTGACTTTACCCAAAAGCACAGTTAATAATATCAGTGGGATTAATTATTCTTTTAAATTACATTAAAGAACAGCTCTGTGCTCTTCTTGTAGATTGGTTTCCTTTGAACTGGTAACATTATTCTCCAGAATCCACCTTATGTGACAGGATGGTAGTGGTATCCTCTCTAAAGTACTGTACTTCTCACACCTAAGATTTAAAAATTAACCTCACCCTATGGAATATCATGTTAAAATTTGGAGTTGTCACGGTTATTTCCTCTTTCACCTCTCCTACAGTTATTCCTCCCAAGATTCAACCCAGGCTATTCTGTATACACAAGGTCAGCAAATATTTAATTTATTTTGTTAGCTTTTATATAAGTCAAAATCACACCCAGGAGACTGGGGTGTGGTAACATAGACATCAAATCTCCTAATACCCTGATTCTAAACCAGTCAGTCTACACCTTCTTTCATATGAGAAAGAATTGCAGAAAGTCTGACAAGTAACAATCTGGCTTCTAGCGCCAAGGACAATGTAGTTTAATTAAATCTTAACTGTTCCTGACATTTCAGAACTGTCTTTTAGGAACAGTAGCCCTCTCCCATGAACAAAGCAGGGAACAAAACTCATT